TCAAGTTGAGAGAACTTTTTAGCATTGACTTCAGTAGTAATTAGAGCCAGGATATACATAGGTGTGGGTCTCAACAGTGACTTTCTCTCTCCCTCTGACTGCCCCAACCCTGTGCCCACAGGGAGAACAGATACAAACATCTTGATGTGCTGGAGAACAGGCTTTGCGTGTCCCAAGCAACACCAACTCTATATGACCAGCGTAGCATAGTGGGGAATCAGCTCCACTGTCATAAATTATAAGAAGATTTTGTTCTATGCTCATTAAGAATTCATTTGCTTATTTTGCGTGGCATTAGTATTCAAATTTCTTTATTCTGCTCATGCTTGCTCAGTGACAGGATCACCTGGTTCCACTTTGGTCTTGCCAACAGCTGTCCAGACCCTCTCTCCATTGCTATTACCCAACCCTCACACTTCCCATTCCCCATCTGACACATACCCTATTTAACACTGAATCCTCTGCTTCTGCTTTGCAATAGGCAACAAATATAGCCCTCATTCAGAAACACATCCCCATTCAGGAATACCCTTAAATATGTTTAAAGTTAAGCATGTGCTTAATATGTTTCCTGAACTGAACTTGAAGTATTAGGAGAAATCAGTAGGGTTTTTTAAAAAAAAATATCTTAGTTTAGAAAAGAACTGGACTAATGTACTCTTAACGCATTTGTTCCCCATTATCATCTGATGTGGGCATATATGGATAAATAGGACGCTTAAAATAAATCTTCTTTTGGATCACTCCCTGCTTATTTCAGGGGAATCTTTAAACAGAAAGATGTTATATTCATTTTACAGCAGTTTAGCTGGGAAGCTGCATGTGTGTTACAAGCATATCACCCATATTTTGGAATATTCTAGCATTAGCAGATGGCTGGAGAAATGAGTAATATTTGTTTATTTTAATGTGCTCATATGAAAGAGTTAGGGATGTAGTCTGGAGAAGAGAAGACTTGGGGAAGGAGGGAGAACTTGAAAGCAGGGCAATTTCTGAAGGGCAATTATAAAGAGGATGAAGATAGCCTTTTCTCAGTTGTTGTAGGGGAACGGACTACCAGTAATGGTTTTATATAGCAGAAGGGGATATTTAGGTTGGCAATTAGGAAGAACTTTCTGACTGTGAGGGTGGTTAAGTATTGGACACAGAAGTTGAGGAATCTTCATCCTTGGAAATTTTCAAGAGCAGGTCATGTAGACACTTGACTAGGATGGTTAGTCAGGGATGATCCTGCCCTGAGTAGAGGGCTGGAGTGAATGACAGTCCTTTCCAGCCCTACTTTCCTATGAAAGTGTGTCTCATAGTCCAAAATCCTCTTTGAACACAGTTCAATAACAAACTCAGTTACTCTAAGATCTCCAAAAGATCTAAAATGCGTATGTCAGCCACAGAGGAGGCATACCTGAAACACAAACTGAGCATAGATGGAAATTTTATATCAGGCACATTACCTTGTTTCCTCTGAAGATTTTCCCATATCTGACAATAACAATCTTTCCCGTACAGTTGATTCCCATCTCTCTCTCCAGTTTGAAAAAGTCTTCAGTGCGGCCATAATTGACATACACTAACTCACCCTAGTAGACAAGAGGCACAAGTGGAAACAAGGGTGACTAAGAACATGATCTAATAAGCAGATGGCATGGGAGCAATGAGCTCAGGTTGTACTGCCTATGTTATGAAGTCTGAGATGCGTTCCCTCAATGGCCAAGTGCTAGTTATACAGGCTTTTGTATAACTATATGTATACACTCAACTCCCATTCAAGTCGATGGAAGCTGAAGGTACTAAACACTAATAGCACATTAGTACAGCAAATGAGTTTCCCAAATCTATACATTAATACCCTTCATGCTTGCATTTCAAGGAAGTTTTTTAGTTGTAAGAGCATGCCTACATCTGTATGTACTACTGTAACCAGGCCCCTACCCCAATACCCAGGAGAGGAAGGGAACCTACAGGACAGCCGAACTCCTTGAACAGACTTCATAGCAAAAAGGGAGGTTAAATAAAATGGGTACTTGTCCTAGGTACAGGCAGTGATTGGCAGGCCTGGGCTGGAAGTAGAGGGTCAGGGGACCCAGGGAGAGACTTATAAGCCCAGGGCTTGTCCCAGAAGGTGCAGTCTAGGTGTAGGAGCTAGATTGTGGGCAAAAGGAAGCCTGTGCTTTGAGCACCAGGACAGAAGTACTTTCAACCTTTGTGTTGGTGCTGTTGCGAGGTGAAATGAACCCCAGCAGGGGAGCTTGTGCTGTGTGAGCTTTGTTTTGGGAGCAGATGCTCATACTTCTTATTTGTGTTTAAACTGGGGGACTGAGTGTGGCTGTAAGGGGAGGACTGGAGGCCACTGGGTGCTGCAGGAGCACCCAGCCCAGAGCACCCCCAGGGACTGCAACCCAGTGAGCTGTGTACAGCAGAGACCTGAGCATTTTGGAAGGAGGACTGTGGTATGCTGGAGGACTGAACATCTGGCAGCAAAGACTGAGACGGTGCAAGCCCAGCACCCATAAGGGGTGCAAGCAGGAGGCAGAGAGGCCTGCAGTTTTGAGGACAAGCTTGGGTTCGTGAGCCTGGCATTCTGATGCAGTGGGTGGAAGAAACCCAGGTAGATTAATATGGGCCAAGGCTGGAAGAAGCCTCAGCCCTGACAAGAGCTTACTCTAAAACCCACTCCTGCTTCCTGGGGCAATTGTAAGGTCAAAGTGTGGCAGGTGAGATGAGTGTGGGCAAACCCTGGGAGGCCAAAGAGAAGTAATGAGGTAGGAGCTGGATGGTGAGCCAGGCACATTAGAATTACCACAAATATCCATACTTACATTTCCCTGTAATTCCAATGAAATCACCTCTCTCCCAAGCGAAGCTCTGTGCTCAGAGGTGTGCATCTGGAACTTGCATTACAGCACTAGCATGTTCTAAGATCACCTGGGTCACACTGCTTTAATGTTATATCTTAGTGACTTTAATCCTACTCTGTACAGTGACTTCTGTCTAAAGTAGACCTGGACTGAAATTCTGAAATTTGAAATTCTGGCCCAGATCACACAGAGGTTTGTCCAAATGAAGATGACGCATCATAAGGGTTTCCTGAAACTGTTCTAAGGGCTTGATTCTCTTCCCAAACTAAGGATACCTCAATTAAAATCCAGAGAATTGTACTGGTTTCAAACCATTGTAAATCCAAGGGTAACCTGGCCAATTCTCTCAACATCCTTTCTATAAATATGTAGGACAAAAAAACCTAATATTTTTCTCCTCCTGTATTTGTTGACCAAGTACAAAATGCTGATTTGTGTGCTTTCATAATTGGATTTCATAATTATACCAATTAACAGCAGCCTGCTGGGCTTCCACAATCAGCATAATTGTTCTACAATGAAAGGATATGCCAAGTCATCATGCAAGTTAAATTTTATAGCTGCAACCTGGTCATATAATCCTTTAGTTTTTCTTTTTCTTTTTTAATTTCCTTAATTAAACAAACACAGACAGAGCTACATGAATACACTATCCTGATTTGTTCTGAAATAAAGTCCTTACAATTAAGTATGATTTAAGATGTAACCAAGAATAAAAGGAGAGAAAAAATCTCCTTAGGATATTGCACAGGAATTTATATTTACTTAATGTTTGGACTTACAAAACTATATATAACAAAAGAGGTAATTTAACACATTATGTAACAAACTGGCCTTACTTGGGATTCCTTACAACTTCTTGGAAAGCCCCCTCTTCTCAACTTGCTTCAAATAGCATAGCTGCTTTAGAGTATTGTGATCATTTGCAGTAGAATCTGCTAGTAGTACAAGGAAAGCCCCATTGCAGCTACTAGTGATGCTGCTTCAAAATTGGAAAATTGCAAATAATAAGAACTCAGTGGGAACTCTTACAAAAGCTTGAAAAACAATGTAAACTTAATTGTAGATTGTAGAGGGCCAACTTGCTTGTTGCCAATGGCCAAATTACTTTATGAGGTGGCAAATTCCGTCTGCTAATTCCCTACTAATTTGTAAACGCAGCCTCCAATTCCAGCCGCTTAACCTTGAGCGATGTTTGGGTCGTGACAGTAAAACATTCTGAAAACGTAACTCGAGTATAATCAGTGCAGTGGTCTTCAGAGAGCCTGAAGCAATAGCTTAAGAAAGAGGTTCAACTGAATGACTTCACAAATCTGAAAGCTGCTGCCAATGGAGATCTCTCTCCAATGCTAAATTGTCAGAGGACTTGGTGTGCAGGTCCTCCTGGCTGCTACGCTCATTGTGCTAGGATGTTGTTAGCAGTAGCACTACACACACAGTTTTCTACAGGGGCTGTGATCAATGGGTTCCAGATCAGATATTATGGGTCTAATTTTTCACTGAGTGCTATCAGGCAGGCTAAGACAGAGGCTTTATTCCAGAGACTTTATTCTGTTTCCCGCTTTTCGGCATTTACGCTATGTTAGTGGTTTTATTTTTTTTTCATCTGTCTTTTCTACCAGAATTTAGCTTTCATACATCAAGTAAAGTAAACTTTGTTTTTCTGTACAATTTATACCCGACACCTAGTGTATTCCAGGGACAGATTTTGCTTTCTAATCTGAATCTGAGGCAACTGCATAGAAGTCAGAGTTATAATTGTGGAAATTAAAAACAGAATTTGGCCCTATGGACTTGAATTAATTTAAATAGCTAATTCCTTTTCTCCCTGGCACATTAATTTACATTTCAATATTGTAATGCCATAGGATTTTTTTATTTCTTTTAATGGTCTTCTTTGAATTTATGATGCCACATGCTGTGCTTAACATTCCTTCACACTCCTAACGCTACTGTAGTTTTGAAACCAGAAGCTTTTTAGAGAAACAAAGACAAGGAGCATTGTGCAATTCATTTCCATACGATAACCAGGATTCTGCTCTAACCTAATAAAGGTCTGCTGCTTCCCACTCCCTACATGGTGAAAACATTTTTTCAAATCAGTTGTGGGTTTTTTAAAAAAATATTCTTGTACATACGGCTCTTGTCAATGCCAGAGCAAGCCCTTGGCACTGAAGACATCATTCTATTTTATTGGTGTAATTTCTATCACATTTCTGAGGGCCTTGTTACATTATGCTGTGAGCTGCACACATGCTGATCAGTGTTAGTGCTAGCTTAGAGTTTGAAGCAGTCATACCCTTAATCAAGAAACCTTCTCTGACTGGCCCCCATCTGCACAGCTGTGACTTGCCGCCAGAGGTGTGGTGAGCAGGGGCAGGGCTAGGAGCTGGAGGACTGGTGAGCCAGGGCAGGCTTCTACCCCTGCTCTATGGGCAGGGGTGTGAGAGATCCTGGGATGCTGGAGGACTTCAACTTGGGTGGCATATCTGTGGGCACTGGCCACACTTGAATGGTACTACTCCTGAGCTGGGTAGTACAAGTCCAAGAGAATCCTGCCCTGGAGCAGCGCAACTTTGAGCTATATAACAAGTGCTTAAAACCACTTGAAGGTGTTAATGTGTACAAAACTGAGGAGTTAAGAGCTCCAGAAACTGCCGAAATTACCATATAACAAGACCTTGAATTAAATCATCTCCAGCACCAAAGGGCTTTCTTGCACGACTCCAGCAGTTTTGCCAGAACGACAATGCCAATTAGGAATGAGATTTTTTTTTCACTTCCTTAATCCACTCTGTTTTGCTGGTAATACTCCTAAGTGTAGGACGAGGCCTGGCAGCCAATACTTTGGTTACATCCAATTCTGCTATCTTAATGAGAGCAGGATATAGGCTGTACTGTGTCTATAAACTGTCTTGCTAATGAAAAGTGGGTTCTTAGAGAGGTAGAAATGATGCCTTAGATCATCTGGACTATCCCCTAACTATACTTCCTATACTTTGTATTTTCCTGGATTTTGTCCAGTTAGGTTTTTTTTAATATTCTGTTGGAAACAGTTCCACAATCCTGACTAGATCTTGGTGTTAAGAATCTTTCCCCATATTCAAGTTAAAGTTACCTAGCCTTAATTTAATCCTACTACTCTTGGTTGTATCCTGTTGGGGTACAACGACATTGTACATATTACACAGTGGCTTTCGTTTAGTGGTTTTTATAACATTTACATGTTATCTTCTATCAAATCTACCTAGATATTTTGAAGGCACTGATCACTGTGGTAGCCATACCCCGCACAGCAATGAAAAGTGGCACGATGCATGCCCCAAGGTTTTGTTTATGCTGGAAAAAAAAGAACCAGAAGCAGTTTGAAATGCATTTACTAACATGTTCACAGACTGAGGCTAGAAGGGGCAATTACGGTCATCTCCTATGATCACCAGCATAACACAAGCCAGAGAATTTTTACTAATTGGTTCTTGTATCAAGCCCATATGCTTCTTAATTAGTCACAGCAGTGCGGTTTGCCCACTCAGGGGCAGCCCGCATTGTTTTGAGACAGACCTCTTTTAAGAACTCCTATAAAAGGTACTTCGGGTCTGGCAGAAGGGATTATCAGACCCATCTGAGAAAAGGTTCAGATGATGCCTGCAGGGCTTGAAAGAGTTTACTTTAGAAGGAAAACAACTGTAAACAGATTGGCTCCTTTAACAGTCCCTGGGATAAGAGACTCCCCAGAATGTGGCTTGTAGGAGGACTGGGCAATAGCTTTGTTTGCATAATAAATGAAACACTGAGGAAAGGGGCCAGATTAAGCCTTTGGGTATGGTATATTTGTCTGCACTGGACAGACAAATTAACAACCTACAGTCATTCTGCCATCTTTTACTAATGTTACTGTGACACTGGGAGTGGATATGCTTTACTTAATGCACCAGCACAGGAAGGCAAGTGATTATGTCTCTGGTTGTCCAACTCCCTCCACACCCCTCATTTAAGCTTTTAGCTTTCACTGTGGTGGGTAACATTTTAGAATATGACCCAAGTGCACCGAGAATGCCCTCAAACCAGAAGCCAAACAACCCCACACGTTTTGAAATTACAAGTGGTTTTGTTCTCCATGTCTCATAAGACAAGAACAAGGAGATAATCAGTGAAATTCAAAACCAAGAAAAAGAAACATTCTGTCACCCAGTCTGAAGAGTGGAACTTCCTGCCACAGGAAGCCATGAAGGACAAAAACTGAACAAGGTTTCAAGGATATCAGGATCATCCAACATTATCAATGACTACAAACTCTGAATAAGATAAGAAATCTCATGCTCCAAGACTTAAAAGTGAGACCCATGGTGCAGATTATACCATACCAGCATACTTAGCATTTTTTGCCATTCCTCTGAAGCATCTAGTATTGGCCAGTGTCAGAAATAGTGTAATGATCCTGTACGGCAGTGGTGTCAAACTCACCCTGGTACCCAAGCCAGATCTGGACCATGAAGAGCCTTGCAAGACAGATCCAAACCTAGCAGCAGCAGGGTGAGCAAGGTAGTGTGGGGATTAACATGCCTCTTATTCACACCTTTGTCATCATCACATATCCCCAATGGGACTCTGTAGCTGGAAATTTAGTGGTGGGCACCACCTCTGATTCCTGGCCCTTCTAAGAGCACTAAGGGGCAAGTGAAATGGCTCTAGGGGCCAGATCTGGCCTGCAGGCCATATCTTTGAGACCCACACAGTACAGTGAGTCCTGGGGCATTTCGCTATGGGGGCTATTGTTGCTGAAAATGCTGCACTCAAGAGTCTTATCCTGGGTCAATCCATTTATCTCGTTCCTGTGAAACATGGCTGCCCGGGAAGGGCATGAATAAGTAGGTAATTTCTGAAGCAGTATATCATGTCAGTCTGTTGAATGCCTTGAAAATCAGGACTGGGACTGAGTTGCTTGCTCCAGCAACAGATAGGCTAAAGGTGGAACTCAGTATAGTCTTAGGCTGTGTTCCTGTCGGTGCTTACTGGTTAAGTGGGCGACTGCTTCAGATTGTAGACCACGTCGATAGCTTAAAAGAACAAGTTGCCTTGGTTTTTCTTTTAGTTATAGTTAAATGGGTCAGATTCAGAGGTATAAGTTCGATCTTCCAAAGTATTTTTACATATCTGAGGTGTTAATTCTGATGTGGGTGAAAAAAGAGGGGAAAATTCCAGCAGGGGCAGAACAATCCCCTACAGTTCAGTAACAAAACTATAACAAGCAACTCATGAGAGCTCTCAGGTGTGCATCAGGGAAGCATGGCAAGCAGGATTTGCCCTATAAGAAAATACTCTCTGGTATATAAATAAAACAGTGTGTAAAACAAAGAGGGCATGCCAGTGAAAAGTGTAATTCAAGTGAACAACTTTGTATACTGTGCAGCTGGAGTAACAACATTTTTTTAAACAATACTTTCCAAAGACTGGCAAATATTTTATATGTTGTGTGGCCTCTTAGCAAATAGTACTCAGGCAGGCTAGACTGGTTCTTGGTGAGAATGAGTTTGATGTTGGGCCCTGGACTAGAGCTCGATATTAAATGCCTCATGGTTCCACCACAGACTATCATTGCTTGCAATCTGGGGTACAGAGAAATCTGTAAATGGTGGCAAGTACTTCCTTTCTCCTCCCTTCTACCTGCTTGTCTATTTTGACTGAAAAGTTATGGGCATAGGAAATATTCTTCCTTCAGTGCCCGGCGCAATGCAGCCTTGATTTGTTTGGAGCCTAGGTGCTAACATAATGCAATTAATAAACAACAGGGTGGAAAAATGTGTAGCCCACAAAGGAAACCCCGCATGGGTTTCCATTTACAGAACAGAGCAGCATCTTGGAGTACTCTTCTATTAACAGTGCTAGTGATATGCCTGAAGCTTTAGTCAACACGGTCCTATAGTATGGAAAAATTGACATCTGATTCTTGAAGAGACAATCTGGCTTCACGTTTCTCTTGAAATGGCATCCATGTCATTAATTAAAACTATTTTTAAGGAAGCTTCAACCTTTCATCTTTAGTTATTACTCCCCCTGCTTCCTATCACTTTGTTTAGCTAACAGAAAGCCAAGTAAAATGATATAGTTATCATATTTTTCTTTCAGGACCTTGCTTTATGTCTGGAATTCAGAATCCATTAATGAACCATAAATTAGGTTGCAAATGTCTTACTACAATTCTAGAAATTCTCATTAGCTGAAAATATCCCGCTGACCAGAGCTTCTGGCCTAGTTTTCCAGGTTAATAAAGCAAATTGTAAACAGAATACCTTTAATTTTCTAGACTTGTGCAGCCTATTAATAAACTGCACAAGATTAAGAAGTAGCAGCCTGAATTAAATAGACAAGAAAGGCATTATGCACAAACAGCTCCTTTCTAATCTTGCACACTGTTGATTAAATCCATTAATGAGTGGTGCGGACACAGTGCCGGAAAACTCCTGCTGTGAGCACCAGCTTGTAAGGGAAGGTCTGTCCTTTGGACCTGCCTGTGAAAACTGAGAGGCATAAAAAGGAACAAGCTGCACCCTGTTCTAAAGTGCAAGGGTCTGTTAGCATTTGAGTTTGGGGTCTAAGTCCACTTAGACGCCCAAGAAGTGGAACAGGATTTGATCCACAGAGCTTTCTCCACTTTTTTTTCTGCAATGGACAGCACAGCTAGCTGGGTTGTAGACAGGACATCGTGGTGCACTATTATATGAGAGTGCTACATGCACATTCTCCTGGGCATGACCACTTTCAGAGCTTCCCACTGCTGCTGCCACTTGACATCCAACACAGATCAGTGCTTTTAGGGAAAACCAGTTAATAATGCTATTGTTATTATTCTTGGCTATCAGCTAAGCAAGGACACTGAGGTCATTCAGTTTGAGGGTCTAAAATTAGCCAGGGGTTTAACCATGACTCTTCGGTTTATGCCTACAAAATCCCAGACCTGGACTAGTTACCCTCTGATATCAGCTGAGAATGGCTGAAACCCATGGTACACAGCTGTAAGCTCTCAGCCCGAAGGAAGGCTACCAAAAGGACAACCACCCTTCCTGCACGCACAGAGACCCAATTCTTAATTCCTTCTACTCCAGGCTCAATCATCAGGATTTCTGGCCCATAATTAATGCCAAATGATTTTTCTCCAATGTCTGGAAGTCTAGTACTTTCTAGGAGTGACATAGCAGTGCCATAAGATGAGCACTGGCTGATATAATAGATTGAAAATATTGATTTATATTCACTGTGATAGCTGCAATGCCATGTAGCAGCTATCTGCCTTAAACTTTTTCTAGAAACAGACACACAAAACCCCCAACATCAACTAAAGCTAGAGAAAAAACTGAATAGACTAATATAATTTCCTAACTTGAAACTCTCCCAGCACACCAGGTCTATAACTTCCGCAGTAGAGGTAATGCAATGTTGTGCTCTGAGCACAGGGGGAGGTTCCTGGAGTGTCACAGGTGTGTTCTCATTACCTCTGGCAGGCCTTGGGCTGAGAAAGCACTGTAGGGTGGCACAACATTTCTAACAGTCTCATATCCTGGAGGTGGGGGCTCAAATAACGACGTATTGAAGATCTAGTTTGAAGGACGCAAAAAGAGATACAGGCATTAGAAAAGGAATGGACACATCCCTTAAGTAATTATGGTTAACACAATCTATGTTTTTTCCCCAACTTTCCTCCTGATCAGCACTGGGCATGCAGGTCCAGTCTGGAGGAAGAGGGCATAATCATGCAAAGATAAACATGTAGGTGGACCCCCTCACCCTCCTACAGCACTCACTTGAATGGTTCTCTGCACATGCTATATTAGTGCAGGGTTAGACAACACACTGGTAAAAATGCTTACATTTTGTCTATGCTAGAGCTCCCATCAGTGAAGAAGCTGCTCTTGTAGCAAGCTACACATCTGATTTTTGCTAGCATAGGCCCTTCAAAAGTCCTGTGCTCCAACCCTTAACACATACCCTTTACAACACAAAAATACCTATACTAAATAAAGGATGAATCCAAGTAACACATCTTAATACAATCATTCTTCTCCTGATCAGAAAGGTACTGTAAAAATAAAATAATAATGAACACTTGCACAGTTTTCTTTTGATCAAGGGAGCTCTACAGCTATGGGGAGGATTGTCACCCCCAATTTTTTCTATAAGGAATTTATTTATGGGCAAACGTAAGGTATACAAAATGTTGACACATACCTACTGAAGTCACTGACAAAAATCTTTGATTTCAAAGAGCTTTAGATGTGGCCCAAAATAATTTTCCTACAGTATGCCCCTAGCAGAGTGGAAAATAAATTCCCCACTTCCACCCCACAGCTTCCTATCCCTGAGTAATATGTGAAGGTGATGCTTAACTAGTTGCAAGAAGGGACATCTTCTTTACCTCATTTCCATGCTCATCAATGATAGAGATATAGTTGGGATTTGTTTTATCAGGGTAAGACAACAGGACATCATAATGAGTCAGCTGAACCAAATCCAATCCAAATATCTCCCACTGGGTTTGGATTTGCTGCGCCAGGTGCAGATTTTCATCTGTTCCCGCTAGGTGAGGAAGTCGAGTGAAATTGCTGAGAAGAAGTGGGCAATCAATGGTAGAAGTCAGAGTTTGTAATTGGAAGCAATTTGTCTTGATCTCACTGGAAACACATCAGTCTTAACACAGAAGAGAGAGAAGTAGCATTCAAATTCAATCAGCTTTCTTATTATTTCAGCATCTATGTATTTGAAGTTTGTACGATGGATAATAGAACAGAAAGTTTTCCTGAAACTATTATCACTGCTTCCTTTTCGACATTGGATGACTTAAAGGCCAGAATACTGATGTAGGACTCAGGAACTAGATCCTATACCCATGTCTCCTACTGGCCTTCTGGGTACCTTCACCTCTTTATTTCACAGCGTCCCCATACCTAACAACGGCATAATGCTACTGATCCCCTTTGTGCAATGTACTGAGGTACGTTGATGGAAAGTGCTGTAGAAGAGCTAGGTACTACAGCTGAACTTTCCATATGTACTTATCAATCTGATCCATAAAGGTGCTTTGCTCCTATTCATGGGACTAGAGGGTTTATACAATTTTCAGTTATTCGTGAGTTTTGGCACATACTTGTGCATCTGTCTAGAAATGCATAGTGCCTGCATGTCCACTCTTTGTTGTTTATCTGTTTAAAAAAGATTCAGTCATATAAACAGGAAACCAAACTTGTGACTGAGAGAACTGACCACACAACATGGATAATATCTGGTAAACAAGCTTGGTGAACAGCTTGTTAAAAAGCTTGTATGAAGCCCATAGTCTGAAAAGATTGTTTATGCAGACGATCCAAGAACAGATGCTTTGGGGTTAGGGCATAGGGGATATAATGGTGGGGGAAAAATCCTTTTATTTCTGTTCCAGAGAACACTGAGAACCAACTCATCAAATTGAGTACTCTGGAAGAACAATATTCTCCTACTTTATTAAGTGTGCTCCTGGCTATCGTCATTTTCTCCCTCACATACCTCTATGTCTGTGTCCTAATATGGCCTTTGGAGGCACCGTTCCTGAGGAGGTGTCATCTTCCGGATAGCATGAAGAACCAAGGTTCATTTTCAATCATTAAAGATCCAAAGACAGCTTTAATAAGAGTTGGGTTTGTTTAGCTGGTGTTTTTGGCTGAGGTCCAGTTTAAGTAATTAAACTCTCTCCTGTTCCCACTGCTGTCTGAACTGGATGTCCTGTTCTCCCTTATTTCTTGCCCTAAACTGTTATTCAGTGCTGTCATTATATAATTGCCACATTCCATCCCAGAGTTGGCTGCAATGCAGAAACTGAGACACCAATACTTCCTGCGGGTGTAGTGATAGCAGAAAGCAAACCCAGGACAAGGAGGTTTAGCAGCCTTGTCAGCTTGGTAATAACCAAAACTAGGGTGAAGATTTTATTTCCAATTAATTCCTGGATCTTTGGTCTCTTAGTTTGTTTAGTCCACAGCACAGTCATTACAAAGTAAAGAGGAAGCACCTTCAAGTTAACTGAATAATTGCAGTGGTTTGTGGCAAATGCATTTAAAATTAAATCAGTGGACTTGCCATCATCTCATCTGTGGGAAATGTTTTTCTAGGAACATTTAAACCTAGGCATAACAACATGGTTTATAGCTGGCTGAGAATTAAACCCAACAGCAGAATCCCTGGATTATTCCTAAAATCACTGATACTTTTGTTTACACTGAAAGTTAATTACAAGTAATAAGGTTTCTGATCTGTTCCTGGCTGGAATAAATAAAAGCTGCCGATAAGTGCTGGATCCCATTCGCAGTCAACTAATGAGTTTACATGATCACCTTAGATAAAGTGGTAAATGCATCTCACTTTTTCCCCTAATTAAAGTTTCGGAATGAATTACAGAAATTAAGGACTATTATAGATTTTTTTTTTTTTTTAAAGAAAGGTTTGTGGGGCCTTCGCATGAGTGTCTGACTCTTCAGGAGATGCTAGCAGCAAAGCAGCTAGGCTGCAATAAAAGGACAAGAGTAGTGTGAACATTATGGGCCAGATTCCATTTCACCTTATAGTCACGTAGGTAGACTTGGGCATCTAAGTGCAATTCTTCTCCACCTTGCTGGAGTCCCTGAAAAAACAGTTAAACCAAAAGGGGAGTTCTTCTGGCTGCTTTTTTATGACACTAACAGGAGTATTAAGACTAAAAAGGAGCATCAAGGGAAAGTGCAATCAAGGGAAGTGATTCTTCTGCTCTATTCAGTCCTGGCAAGGCCTCACCTGGAGTATTGTGCCTAGTTTTGGACCACACATTTCAAGAAGGTTGTGGACAGTTTGGAAAGAGTCCAGCACAGAGCAAGAAAATGGATTAAGTGCCTGGGGGGACAAAGACTTACTAGGAAAGGCTGAAAGAACTACGGTTATTTAGTCTGGAAAAGAGGAGACTGAGGGAAGATTTAGTAACAGGCTTCCTATACTTGGAGGGCAATTACAGAGAGGAAAGGGATGGCTTTCTGTCTGTGGCCATTCAGCAATGGCCTCAAGCTGTAGCCGAGAAAATTTAGGTTAGAAATTAGGAGAAACTTTCTAGCATTGGGACAGCCTACCTAGAGAAAGAGTGGAATCTCCATCCCTGGAAGTTTTCAAGGGCAAGTTGGACAATCACTTGGATGGGATGGTTTAGGCAGAAACGATTCTGCCTTGAGCAGGGGGTTGGACTAGATGACATTTTGAGGTCCCTTCCAGCCCTATGCTACTATGATCCTAAAGGTAAGATAGTGGGTGCATTAACAAAATAGATGCATTAATGGGTTTTGAGGGACTTGAACAGGGTGGGGTAGAATCATCTCTAGGAGCCTACAGCCACTTGGACATCCAGTAAGTGGGACAGAATCTAGCCCCACCTGTTTGTTAACATGCTCTGGGGACTTGGGGGTGAATATGCCTTTTGGAAGACGTGGATCTGAAGAAGGAACTTGAAGGTGTGAGAACTGTAATGGGCCAACTGGGCCAACTAGCTGGTATCTACCCCAAGTCTAGATGCTCTGTCAGGCTACTCTGATTACTTAGGAGCAAAACTCAGAGGCATGTCAGGAACAGAGTTCCAGGAATAAGAGTTTTCCTGGAAAGAAGTAAAATGTGACCAGGAAATGAAGGGATAAAGTTATTTGGCCATAACCAAGGGAAGTGTGAGGTGATGGTCAGAGAGACAGACAGGACAGTCTAACCAACAGGGAGTCTTAAAGGAAAATCTGGTTTTTCTCTCTTTTCCACTCATGTGAATCTTTACATTCTTAATTTGGGTCCCTGATCAATTCCTAGATCACTCTTGAAAGCTTATGCCAGTTTTTCCTGAAAACACTCCCCAGTACAGGGAGCCAGGCTGTCGACAGGGAAGGGCTCACCACCACCTTGCACAAAGACACTTTGTTACACATATTGAAATCTCTGGGACCTTCCTCCTTTGGAAAGGGATAAGAGAAGTCATGACAGACTCCATCTGCAAGCAGGGCTCATATTGGGATAGCTGAACACAACCTTTAGCTAGCAGTCTGTCCACAAATCCCAGTCATCCCCAAGTCATTTTTGTGGCGAGCTAAGCATATACTTTGCTTACTATAAAAACTTCTTGATGTTTTCAGCTTTCATTTCAGCCATAAATGCCTTCTTCATCCTGTCATGAGAACTAGCAGCCACTACCTTCTCAGTGGGCTTTGCAATCCAACCTGCAATACACACCAAAGTACAGTAATGAAAAACACTGAGAAAACATTATTTTTACGGTACATGCAGTTTTCACTGCTATCACCTCAAGGCTTTACTGTGCCTTTTACTATTGTTTCTGTACTAGTGGTGACTCAAGATCAGAGTTTTGGCATGGTGGAAAAACGCACAGAAATAAAGCTCCTAGCCTAGACAGGTAGGTGAAAAGGAACAGGAGGAAAGCAAATATTATATCCACCCTGTGCCTTAGTACAGCCTACTTGAATTGTAAGTACTTTCCCATAAATACCAAGTCATCAAGCTATGAACCATATCAATTTCAGTTCATCTCAGGAAAAAGACAGCAGCTTTGGAAAGGTGCATGGAAATCAAGGGCATAAAGTACAAGGCCATAGAGCAACTTGCCTCTATTTGTTACTCCAGGCTCCGGCTTTCTTTTACCGTGTTTTTGTTTGTTTGCTTGTTTTTAAATAAAATATCAATTCTACAAGGGCAAGCAAAGAAAAAGTTGCCCTTCCAGGGGCACTTCTGGGGAATAGGGTTTCTGGCTTCCACTTCTAGTTGAAAACAAAAACCCAGAGCTGTGTGACCACAGAAGAGATCACTTGGGGTAGCTTCAAAATGCTGACAAAACGAAGCCGGGAAGCACGCATGCAGCAGGAGCACTCTGGCACCCACAGGACATGGCAAGTGCTTTTTCATAGGAGGAAAAAATGATGGAGGCTTTCCAGTACCCTAAACCACAGCGAACGGGATCAGACCTCCACACATGGATGGAGGCATTTTTAAACATTTGTGGGGGAGGGAGGTTTCCCCCATCCACGCTCTTTTTAAACCCGGAGACCCAAGTTTGTGCAGGTTCCCCAGCTTGTGCCTGTGGAATTGCAGGACTCGCAGAGAAGCAGACCCGCGAGGGACCGACGCAAGCCACCAAGTCCAAGCCCCAGCCGGAGGCAGGCTCATCCTTATGCAAACCGTCCTCGACCCAGCCATAACTCCCTAACCTGCCAGGGTGAAGGAGGGGAACCAGGGCAGCCAAAAGCGCTACCCGACACGATCCCAAGCAAGGGGACCAAAATCTGGTCCTCCCTGCACGTGTCCCTCCCTGCTCCAGGCCAGCAAGTTGCTGCATCTGCCCGTCCTGTCCCTGCCTTAGCAGCTTTGTGGCTTCATCTCCGTGGGCGGTTTGGGAAACAAGCCCAGCTGCAGCCTTTCGTTCAAAAAAAGACAAGAGGAGCAGAGCAAAGCGGGGCAAAGGGGCTTTCCCTGGCCAGACCCCGCTGCAAGCCTCCCGCAGCCCGGCCCCGAGCCCCGCCCGTACCGCCGAGGAAGCCGAGCAGGAAGAG